TCTGTGAGACCAGGACCTAAGATTGTCCTCTTTCAGATCTGAATATTGGTCCAGAGTTTGGTGACATTGCTTGGGCTTAGGCATATGTCTCAAGGCCAGTGACCTGGTTCCTAGCAAGTACCTACAGTTGCTATAGATAGACTGGTGGCCTGATTGACTGACAGATGAAAAGGTAGAGGCTCTGCATCCTTGTTAGGGGTTGAGCTTGTAGTCCACAGTGTGCCTTGGGAGGAGGGTCAGTCTGCTTCCCTCACTAGCTGGAGGAAGTTCTGTGTCCCTGTATGACTTGGATCCCCCCCCTCCACACACACAAGAGGCCAAGATAATTCTCTGTACTCTTTTAAGCCCCAGGCAGTCTGGCCTGAACCAGCTGGATTCCAGAAGCCCATATACTTCCTTCTCTTGCTTATACCTCTGTCCGGGGTGCCAGTTTTACTTATCCATTGAGGTAAGGGGGGCAGGCAAAGAGCCACGTGTGCAGCTCTGGGATTTGAACATGATGTTTATTTCTAAAGCCGATGGTCAGTGGAGCGGCTCCCCCAGGGGCAGGGAACATTTTGCCAGGCTTGGATTAACTTCTGCATTGCTGAGCCCCACCCCAGCACCACATTAACTCCTAAAGATGTTGTGGGGTAGGGGCAGAGGAAAAGGCAGGGAGGATGGATGGTTCTGGTCACTGATTGAGAAATCAAACCTGGGTTTGGCAGTGCTAAGGCCACCAACCAGGTCACAGCCCACAGCCAGTCTTCAAGGAATGGAGACATCAGTATCTTGCTGATTCTAATCAAACCACAAACTAGCTGCCCTTTCCTTCTCAGCAGCTAGTACTGGCCCTCCCTGGCTGTGAGAACTCTCCATTAATGCTTTCCCTGAGTGACCTTCCTGTGCTGGCAGCACAGATTCAAGTCCTCTGGAATTCTGATCTCCTCAGGGAAGCTGAGTGAGCCTGGGGTGGGTATGGGTGAGGATGGGCCCCAGGGTCTCAAGCTGCCAAGCTGGACAAGCCAGCAGGGATGTAGTCCAATGTGGCCAAGTCAACAGGAGTAAGGGATGAGAGAGGAAGGTCAGCTTCTCTCTCACCTAGGAGCTCTTGGGCAGTCCTGCCATCCTCAGCTGCTCTCCCTGGAGAACCACCACTTGCTGCAGGGCAGCATTCAAGTCCAAAGTCCCACCTGAGAGGAAAATCACATGACCTCCGTTTATATAATCTCCCTGTCATTGAACAGCTGGAACCCAAGGCCTCAGAAGATGAGTCAGCAGCCCCAGGGGCAAATAGGACCCAGGTACTCAGGTTCCATCATAGGAACAGTACTCTAAACTGAGAACAAGGGTGTACAGGAGAATAGGCTGGGTCAGACTCCGAGCCTTGGTCTCTGACTCTCTGTTGAGGAGCAGGTGCCCAGCCTGCTGACTGTGCTCAGGAAGGCCCTGGGCCAACCCCTGGCTCTTCTTGGGGAGAGAGGGGGAGTCTGGGAGGGGCGAGTGTAGGGCTGATGCCAACAGGCAGAATGCCAGGGCTGGCAAGGAGCAGCTGGAGGGGTGGAGCTGAGGAGGATTAGGAAGGATTGTAGGGGTTAAAGCGCAGCCTGGCAGGGCTCAGTGGGAACAGCTTGTCCTTCTACAGGCCCCAGGAACAGGAGAGGTGGGGCAGAGTGGGGAGATGATGGGTCGGTGCTCCAGCTCCTGGCTCCGCAGGGCCTAGCCACCTGGGCTGGCTTGTAGTCCCCACTGGGGGTAACCAGCTATTATTTTTCACCATCACTGCCCTGGCTCACCTGTCTGCATTTTTAGCCGAAAGTGAAGCCTCTGGGCAGACCCTCATTGTCCTAGGGCTGTGCTGCACCCCAGAGACTGGCATTTTGTTGGTGCCTGCACAGGCACGGGGAGGGGGTTGTTCAGAATTCATGTTCCTCCCCACCAGTTCTTTACTCATACTCAGTGGAGTCTGTAATATTCCAAGTTCATGATGGCTGTTACTGTTAATTAGGGGAAGGAGTCTCGTTGGAACAGTTCTATTCCTGCTCAGGGCTTGCGTCTGACCTCCCTTTTTCTTTGAAAACCAACTGTAGGTCAGGTTAGCCCTTTGAGAGTCCTGGGGTATAGGACACACTTTCTCACTTGTTCCTCCTACAGGGGGGCCTCTCCCCACTGCAAAACACACCCCCCCCCTTTATCATCTCCATCCCATCTCAAGTTTATTTTTGGTGTTGGGGATGGAATCCAGGGCCTTATGCATGCTAGGTAAGTGCTCTACCACAGAGCCACATCCCCAGCCCTGCCTTTTACGTTTGAATGAACTATTCCATAGCATTTTACTGATTTTAGATTCCCCACATTCATTATTTGTTTTGAGCCTCGTGGCATTCCTGTGAGGTGGGCAGGGCAGGTGTGATCATTCCCTTTTATAGATGAGGAAATACAGCTCAGCTGATAGGTGTCCAAGGTTTACAAACTGTACCTTCCAGAGGTCATGGGAAGCCTGCCTCAGCCTCAGATGACCTCTTCCTTTCTCACCACTGACTGCACTTAAACACACCCAGGACAACCTCCTATTGTTATTATTTGAGAACTGATTTCTCCAAGTGAATTGTGAATACAACAAAGGCAAACCAATGGCTTGCGCATCTCTTGCCTTCCAAAGCACCTGGAAGAGTACAAAGAGGATTGACATTTACTGAGCACCTATAATGTGCCAGGCACTTTCACATACATTACTGTTAATTCCTCACAAAATGTATGAAGTGGGAACTTATGATCACTCTTCATTTTACAGAACAGGAAACAGGTTCAGAAGTTAAGAAACCTACTCAAGTAAGCTAGATGCTGAGCACTCAGTACTAGGCTAGTAAGCATGAATGAATGGATGAAAAGATGAAAAGATACCCACACCCCAAATGGAGATCTAAAGAGAAACTGGACCTGATTTTAGAAAGAAGTGGACTAGGCCACATGAGCCGGGTTGTTCTCACCTGTATAGGACACAATCAGCTTCCAGAAGTGAGAACAAAAGGAGTGAGGTAAACAAAGGTCTTAGGCCTCTGAGCCCCCTGAAGTCACTGTAGGGCATCCCTGACCACTTAAGAGTGTTGTGAATTGCTTCTGGATGGGGGCAGAGGGGAAGGATGTTAGGGCCACTGTGTTTGTCCCAGGGCAGTGTGCCATTCCTCTGAGGACCTCTCTCAAAGCTTCTCTCTCCCTGGTCCTGGGGGTTGGGGTGGGGCCAGTTGGGCCCTTGGGAAGGGCAGCAGACTCCAGGGAGAGCTGGCTGTGAGGAAGGAGGCAAAGTCCCAGTGGAGTTTGACTCCTAGTTGAGACACCCTGCTCTCTCATGATAGGGTATTGGGGTAGGGTCTATAATTCAGTATTTGGGGAGCAGGTTTTCAACTTGAACATGCTTAGAAATCACACGAAGAACTTGTGACAAGGGCAGATTCCCAGGCATTATCTCCATAGAATTTGTGTCAGTGGGTCTGGGTACACTGTTAAGTCCTGCAGGTGATTTTTGATATGGGTAATCTGCAGACTCCTCTTGGAGAAACACTGCTTACCGGAATGTTCTGTTTTGAGCAAAGGGAGGCAGTCCTCAGAAGCTTCTAGGACCTATGCCACCTCTTGAACAACATCTAACTTGTCTAAGTGAATCCTGCTCCACCTTAAGCATACCTTAAGCACAGTTCTGTGAGAGCAGGTGTTTCTCTTCCGGGTCAGCTCTCCTGACACAGTCTCACACTTGCTTCTACACTAGCTCTACTAGTTCTACTAGCTCTTTAGTACAGCCAACCCTGCCTTGTGGGGGTCTAAATGACCTGGGAGACTCCAGCTTATCTGTCTTCTTTGGTACTTCCCAGATGGCCCAGCAAGGCCAAGGCTCTCTAAGTAATGCCATCAGAATTGTTTTCTCAAATCTTTAGTTATGACACACTTTACAGTGCTCTGTCTCTAGAGCTGGACCCTTACTCCCTTTGCCTAGGCAAGAGCTCTAAGCATCATTTTTTGCTGTGGCACAGCTGTTGTTCACAAAAGGCACATGACCTATGAGAGGGAGTAAATAAGGTAATGGAGCTCACACAGCATCCAGCCCTCTTGCCTGTATGCTTGCCTGTATGCCTATCTACCTGTCCATCCAGCTCTCCATGAATCCATTCACCCAACTCTCCATCCACCCACCCACCCACCCACCCACTCATCCATCCATCCATGCAGTCAGCAGGTCAGCTGAGTTCCATGCTCTATGAGGCACAAGAGGGATCCAGAGACAGGATCTTTTCCAGTCTCTGACAACTTGCCATCTAATGGGCACACTAATAACTACAGAAAAGGTGGAATATAGTTAATGCCTCTGGAGAGGTATTTTTAGGAATTAGATATGAGGGAGACCATGCTAGTCAATTGTTCAGTCTCCAGCAAAGCTGCTTTCTTGGTTCCAACCCACACAGGAATATAGAGATATTAGATTGTCTCAAGCCCTAGTAAAAAATGTCTCCACAATTTTCTCCAAAGGCACTTTAGTCCTTGTGTCCAGACATGCCTTAGCCCATTAGTGTCCATCAGAGGAAACTTCCTCTTCCTCTGGTGTCTTAGGCCCAGATGTAAAGCCTGAACAAGAGAGACGCAGCCAGAGCAGACAGGACCCATTTGCCACAAGGAGCCCTGGTAGTCTGGAGGCTCCAGCATCTAGCTCCCTGGCATTTTGGCCAGAACAGGATAGGTGGAGAATAGCAGTGTGTGTGTGTGTGTGTGTGTGTGTGTGTGTGTGTGTGTGTTTGGGGAGTAGCCAGGTCATTTGGAGAGTGATGCTGAAGTACCTCCAAGCATACAGGTCCTTGGGAGAACGGGAACCCTCTTACCCTGGCAGTGTGACAGGAGGGCACCAGACATGCTGTCTCCACCAGGCTTGCCATCCACCATCAGTTAGGTTGGGAGTCCTGACCTTAACCTGGCTCTTCTGCATTAGCAGCTGTCTCCCCAGCCCATCACTGGGTCCCCAAGGGTAAACTCACCAAGGCCTCTCGTACTGGTGAGCTGGAGCGGCTGGGCCCAGGGGCCTGGCCCTTGCTCTTCTCCCACAGTGTGTAGCGGCCACTGGGTCGGAAGGTGGGACTGAGAACTTCAGGGACTCGTGAGGAAGGGGTTTGCGTGAGCACCTGAGGTGCACTGCCCTTGCGACCATAGTTCTCTAGGTAGTCCGTCAGGTACTCCGAGCGGCTGGCTGCCTGGTAGAGCCCCTGCAGGGCACAGAGCTCCTTGCGTGTGCGGGCCAGCATAGGGCTGCGGCCTAGGTTCCCAGGGTCTATCCGATAGCCATCTGAGGTCCGGTAGCTATCTGAAGTCCGGAGGCTGGAGAAATCCCGAGCCAGGTCTGATTGGCTATTCGATTTCTTCTGGGTCAAGGTTACCCCCTGGTCACGAGCATTCACAGGCAGGTAGCTGAGGGAGTTACTGGTCACTCCGTAAGGGAATCCACTGCCCCCACTAAGTCCACTGCCTGAAGACCGCTCAGTGCCCCGGGTCTGGCTCTCTGCTCGCTTACTACCCCTGACGATGTCAGGTCTCAGCAGGGGGCGTCCCCGGTCATAGTCCAGGATGGAGGAGGGGCCGTAAGTGCGGGGACGGGGGAGGAAGCCCGTGGGGGGACTTGGCTTGAAACCAAGCTTCTCCTTCTCCAGAAAGGAGGCGGCCAGGTTGGCCCCATAGGAGGAGGGGGTATAGGTGCCATAGCCCGATTTGGCATAAGGGACATCTGTGTAGCAGGCCGATTCTGTGTAGCGCTTCAGGGTGGAGGAGAGCTGGGACATCCTTCAGGGCGGCACTCAGTGGGGTCTGGGAGCCTCATGGGCTGAAAGACAAGGAAAGCAGTTGTCAAAGGGCCCTGTCATGTGCCAGCCCTCCGTTGTGCCTACCATCCATCCCAGATAGACCAGGACGTTAGGGCTTAACTGGGCCATCCAGTCCACAAGAGGCTAGCTGGCTGCCAAGAAACGCACACACGCATTCAGGTGTGCCCTTGTAGTCACACCAACATTCATGCATTCACAAAAGAAATCAGCATCTGCTCTCCTGTCCTCACCTCTGCAACCTTCTAAGCCACACACCCTTCTCCAGCCAAATCCTATCTGGTTCCTGTGCTCAGATTCTGAAGAAACTTCTGAGCTGGGAATGCTAGGTTCCCGGGGTCTAGCCTGTAGCCCACTGAGATCTAATAGCTATGTGAGGTCTGGAAGCTGGAGAAATCCCACTCCCACCCCCTGACTGAGAACTCTGGACTTTTTTCAAGAGTCACCATGGATTCTTGCCCTCTGACTTAAGTAATGAGCAGGAGCTCTTTGGCATTGTAGACTGTCTGCTGTGATGACCTGAAGATCATGGGGTGAGATCTCTCACGAGGAAAAAAGGCTCCTGAGAAGAAGTGATGGGGATTAGTGGGCAGGGGAGGTGGTGAGGGAGCATTCAGCAGAGGGACTGGACATCAGTCTCCACACTGCACCCCAGAGTGCTTCCCTGAGAATGGAAACCTGCTGCTTGGTCCTGCAGTGGGGATACTGCTATGGCCAAACCCGCCTTCTTTACTGAGCTTAGCCTTCTGCGGAGTTAGGGCCTCAGGGCCTCCCAGGGATTCTCCTCCCAACAAGGATGCTAAATTGCTCCTGTTAAAACTTGATTTGGGCAAAGGGGCCCCCTAGAGGCCAAAATCCTGCACTGCAGGTGACACCACTCCTCCCTGGCCAGTGGATCTGATGAAGGAACACAGAAATCACAGAATGTGGAGCTTGGAGGTCCCTAAATGATCATGCATTTTAACTTCTCTGTTGGACAGATAGTAAAAATGATGTTGGTTTGATCAAGGCCACACTCTGGCAAAGTCAGGATTGGAATCCATGTCTTTTAGCATGTGACCCAGCATTCTTTCCATTTTTCTCCCCCTTCAAAGTTAGGCTCAGCTGGGGATACCTATAGTGCCACCATCACCCCAGCAAGCAGGCTTCATCTCCACTTTAGCAGGAGTGGCAGGAATGCTTCAGAGAGAGGAGCAAGTAGGCTCAGGCCCCTTTCCTCAAGGGTCCTCAGGGGCTCTTGGGGAGTTCCTTTGGTGTGGGGATGAAGACCTTTCTAAGACTCTCAAGGTAGTGTGTGTGAGGGGCCAGCTTTGATTCCCCATGACAGACTAGCTGGGCAGTTTTTTTACTATTTTAACCTCTTTGAGCCCAATTTCTTCACCTGTAAATGAGTATAATGATTATCATCATGATTCCTATCTCACAGGGTTGTTGTGAGGAATAAATGAGATAATAACACGTGAAAGCCCCTAACAATGACTGGTTATTATCTCCTCTCCCAGCCCCTGCCAGGCAGCCTGGCTCTTCCCTATAATAATAATGTCAGGACAGGCCATCTCCCAGCCTGGCCGGCTCCTGACCTCAGCATAGGCACCAGGCTTCCTCCTGCAGCCCCCAGAGAGATTAGTGGGCAGTGGGCAGACACCTAGTTGTTGAACAGACACTGGCTCAGGCAGCCCACAGCCTGCCTGCGTTAGACCAGCAACCCAGCTCATTAGAGCAGAGAGGACCTGGTGCCAAGCCCCAAATGCTTAACAGCTTGGCAGAAATCTCTAGAAATCCAATCCATGCAAGACTTGGGATAGGTGTAGGGGTGGGAGATGAGCAAGTGGTGACTTCCATGTAGGACCCAGAAAATCACTCTGTGACTCTGCTAGAGGTTTCTAGCAGTTTTAATTCCAGGCTGGCCTCAGGAAGGCCTATCCACCTTACTCTCTGCCCGTACTTGCTTGGCCCACAAAACCCCTGCTACCTTTCATGTACTCTTCCTTGTCCCCTGGCTCCCACCTCCAGCACAACTTCCACTCTTATCTAGGAAAAAGTAACTGGGGGACCATCTCATCCAGGGAAATGATGGGAGAGACAGAGGCTCAGGAGTGAGGGCAGAGGACCAGACCTGCTGTTTCACTTTGGAGAACTCCATCAATAATGCAAAGTCAAAGAGACTCCAGGTCTCTGGAGCTGGGCTCTGGACACCCTGCCACCAATCAGATATTCCCTCACCTCCAGGGCATGAGCTCATGGCTAGTCTTTAACAGCTCACCCTCCCCTCCCCAACACTCCCGGGGGAATTGGTATTCTGCGGCAGTGCCTTAAGCCCATGACCTCTCCAGCCCTGCTGATGACGCAGAAGTACTGGGCCAAACAAGGTACAGCAGATAGGAACAGGCAGCCCTGGAAGAGGGGGGGGATGTGGAGGTGGAGCCATACCTTCTGTCCCAAAGAATCCCAGGAGGGATCCCAGATCCTGGCTCTCCCGTCTTCTCTAATCTGGCAGGCAACTGCCAGGCCTCCGCCCTCCCCCAGCAACCTGGGAGACATGCCATCACTAACACCCCCTAGAAGCTGCCACTCAGCTCTGATATCTGTCGAACAGTTCTCATGTCTAGGGAGAGGGTCCTTACTGGGGCTTGAACACATCCCCCTACCCTCACCAAACCCAAGTCTCATTCTTCAGAAGAGTCCCAGCACTTTCCATGTGATAAGACAGCTTGGGTTGACATTACCTGGCACTGCTGTCCCTGGAGGCTGCAGAATGCACCATGGGCGGGAGCTTGGGCTGGGGCCCTGGTGGTGGCCTTGCTGCGCAAGACAGGGACAGAGCGGGCACTCACATGGCTGCGAGTTTCCCTGTTGCCACAGGAACAGCCTGGACTGAATGGCCCTTTCATGGGGCAGTGGGAGGCCAGCCGATTGGCTGGGATCCCCCGTACTCCTCCCTACCCAGTGTGGGGCCCCTGCTGCCCAGCTCCTTTCACTGTTTACCCAGAGCTGGCAAGTATAGGCATGCGGCTTCAGGCAGCACCTCCCCAGGTGCCCGCCACCTTGGACAACAGGGGCAGTCCCCTACCCACACTCCTCCTTCATGCCATCTTTTCCAAGGTTCCCAGCTCTTCCTTTCTCTGAGATTCCCTATCACTTTGATCAGTTTACCCCTCTTGAGAGGTACACTAGCATTCCTCTGCACAGTGGAACTCAGCTTCCTGTAGGGGACATCTGATCCAAGCAGCTGTCACCTGGCCAGCTGGTGCTCTACACCTATGGACTAGGCACCAAGCACACTGAGGACTTCACATTGCAGTTTCTGTTTTCACCTTCTCGGCAGCCCTATACCAACACATGCGGCCCTCACCATGCGTCCCGCTGCCTTCTGAGAGTTCTTATCAGCAGAACCCCAGAAGTCTCAGTGCAGGGGTGAGCTGAACTTTTTCAAACAGAGGGCTGCCTCACACTTACAAACATTGTTGGAAAGGTCAAATTATTACAAAATTAAGAATTTATTCACAATTCAAAAATAAATGTACAAGAAATTTAATAAGTGAAACTTTCAAATGAAGTTTTTAGCATTATATTTGTGAAGGTATTAAAGCTTAAAATGACATTAAGACTTGGGGCACAGTGTTGATGTGGTCCTCCGGCTACGTAATAGCAAGAGGTGTTGTTACGATGCTCATTTGCTGACAAGGAAACTAAGATCCCTGGAGTGATGTGGCTGTCCCAGAGCCTTGCTGGAGCAGTCACAGAGTCGGGTTAGGACTCTGATGCCGAGATCCCTACTTGATACTTTCTTGGGCTGAGGTAGGGCTAGGGACCTGTGAGGTGGGCGTGGGGAGAGGACCACTGTAGGATCCGGGTGTCCACTCTCCAGCAACAGAATGGGGGTTACCGACTCTCACAGGAGCAGCCCTCTGGATTTTTTCCTGCAGGCGAATGAAAATGAAGCCAGGTGCAACCTGAGCCCCAGAATAATACTGATTGGCCATGAGATGGTCTAGGAGGCCTCCATTTCACTCATGGTGCCAAATTCCTTTGTGTCCCCTGGCACCAGCATCTACCCCAGCTCAAGGTCCTTGGCCCCCTGGCTGTTTGAACATGTCCCCCAGTCTCCTAATCTGACTGCCGTTCAGCCCACTCCCCAAGGTACCTATGCTAGGTGAATAAGGGGTTAATGAGCCCTGTCCCCTTGGGGCAGCCATCTCCTTGCGTCAGCCACTGTCATTTCCTGTAGCTCACGTGAAGGGCTCCCTAACCTGCCCAGCCAGGGGAGGGACTTGCTCCCCAAGAATCCCAGGCACTCCTAGCCCTGGGGGCAGGAGATGGGTGATGCCCCACATCCCAGCAATCTTCACTTGCCCAGATCTGCTTGGCTCTCTGGAGTGAAGATATGTTGGCTTCCTGGCCACAGAGCCCCAAGTAGCTTCAGGGTCACACCTAAACAGGGTTAAGTCTCTTCCTTCCTACCCAGGTGATCAGAGCAGGTGAGTGAGGAGTTCTAGTTAGTCTTGCTGGGTGCTCTCCGTGGTGGTGATGACCTCAGAGCTTCCGAAAGCTGCTTGCTAACCGCATCAGAATGTGCTGACCCTGAAGGCTAAGGGGGGTGAGATGGGGCCCTGTTTCCCTCCACCTACACTCTCTGATTCTTAGTCTGGCTGCCTTGGTCCCCTGCTCCCCTGTCTGGATACAAGCATCCAATTCTGGAAGGTGGGGAAGATGCAGGTTGAGGATGGGGGTGGGGCATAGTTATGTGCCCATACTGTCTACTTCTAGGTCCCAGGAGCCTCAACCTATACCCCCTCCTCTAACCTGTCACTAGCAGCTCTCCCTTATCAGGAGCTAGCACCGAGGGACCCACTAGCTTATCTGTCATAGCAAGGGGTCATCCAAGGGAATTTGGATTCATCTCTATCTTTCTGGCTGCTGGTAATAGTCCAGGGGGTGGCAGTGGGAGGGGAGATAAAGAGATTGGAGATTAAGGCAAGCATCCTGACTGGTGGAGAATAAGTGGGTGGGCCCAGGGCAGCATCTCTATAGGGTGCTTCTTGACTTGGGTTTGGGCATCTACAGGTCCAAGAAAAGGCAAAGAAATGGGCTCCAGACAGTATTGTTGTCCTTACATTCTCTTTTGCACCTACTTCTGCCCAGGCACTCTCCAGGTGCCCCTTCCCCAGGGAAGAGTTCTGTCCTCCTCTCTCTCCTCTAGGGCTTTAGCTGTCCTCTTTACTCACCTCCTGAGGAGCTTTTGGTCTTGCCAACTGCACCCACCAGGCCCAACGGTGGCCTCTCATGAGCTCCCCCAAACTCATTCATGTCTGTCATCTGGACAGCTGCCCAGGCAAAGCTCAGACACCAAAGGGGCTGCTACTGACCTGTGTCCAGGGGCACTGGATGGGACCTGGGGGCTTCCTCCCCGGGAGGGCAGAGAACGCAGTGGAGAGCCCAGAAGCTGGAGTCTGACTCCGGGCTGGGTAATCCGGAGCTCAGGTTACGCTGGATATATATAGTATCTTATCTGACCTCCCAGAGAAGGCAACTTGCATTCCAAGCCCTGGGAGAATTAAAGGGGCAGTGGCATGCCCACTCTTCATGGGCCACTTGGTTTGACTGGTGCCAGCCAAGGAGTCCTACTAAGACTCTCGGGAGGAGGCATTTTGAAGTGGAACAGTGGGGGAATTCAAGGGGAAACTGGATGGTAGAGGACTGGGGTGGAAATTGAGACAAAAATAGGAAGAGGCTGGATTCTGTGGAGCTGTCAGTCATAGAATTAGAGAACAGGAAGAAGCCTTACTGCTAGTTACAGCTCCTGGAATTTTGAGATGGAGTAGACCTAGCTCAAGGGCACACAAACAGCTAGAGGCAGACAAGACCAGTACTCAGGTTTCAGTTCACTACTTTTTTACGATAGACTTCTAAGTCTAAGCCTGAATTCCAGTTCTTCTCCCTATTGGATCTGAGTCAGTGAGCAAGTCACTTAAGCTTTCTGAATCTCATTTAGTCTGTAAAACATGATTAATAAAATATAATAATAACAACAATAATAGTATACCTCAAAGTTGTGAGGATGAAATAAAATAATATTTGTAAATTTCCTGGCATATAGTAAGAGTTCAGAAAATGATGATTGTATTGAATACTTCCACTTCTTGTTTTAGTGAACAGCAGTATTAGTAGTAGCAGTTGGTGATCCTTCCTAGAAGAGGACCCTAACCTAGAAGAAAAAGGCCTYAGGCCACCCCTCAGGGAGTGCTCTGTTTTAATGCCAGAGAATAGCCCTGTGGTTTTCTGAACTGGCCCACATCCCAAAAGTGGGAAGGACAAATGCCAGTTGTCATATTCCCAGATGTCCAGTCCACCAAAGTGAGACAGGACAAGCCCATTTGGGTTCCCTCCCCATTTATCTAGAAAAATATAGCAAGTGTAGCTTCCCCCAGACTGCCAGGAGACTCTCTGGCCCCTCTGGAGTGGTTCCACTCTACCTGCTGGAGGGCTCGGGATTCCTGGGCCGCAGAGCTGTGCTGGGCAGGGTCACAAGGAGGAGCAGGGTTCTTGGCCTTTCTGGCCTTGGTGCACCTGTCTGCTCTCAGGATGAGTCTCCTGTTTCTCGATGGCTCTCCCTGAGGACTGGGAGGACCCGTGCTGGTGCCTCCACCCTGTCTCAGCACAGGCCACTGACTCAGCCTGGGTCCTGATGATGCACTTCAGAGGACGCCCTCATTCCAGTCCTCATTCCAGTCACCATGCATCTGTCTACAGCATCAAAAGAGCAGGGGAATGCCCCAACACTAGATCATCAATCCTCTCCTTTCCTCTGGCTTTGCGGGTGGATTTGGGGGGTGTTCTCATGCTTGGTCCCTGGGGAGATGAGCAGCCCCTACAACTTTCCAACTCAGCCCTGTTTTAAAAGCATCCAGGTTAAGAGCTAGGACTCTCCTCAGAGGAGAGCAAGGATGGGTTGGCCTGGGTGTCCCTTGGTTAAGTTGCTTGCCTGGAGCACCACATGCCCACTTCTGGTTTGGGATTTAGGAGAATTTCAAAGTTGCCTCTTTCTGATTTGGGATTGGTGGAAAATCTCTCCTTCCGTTTAACTGCTGCGCTCCCCAAAACCCCTCCCCCCTTTGGCAAACTGATGGAGACAGCCCCCAGGAGCTTTAGGAGCAGGTAGTAAGTGAGCTACACGCACACGTGGGGAGGGGGTTCGTCAGCGTCCAGGCATCACTCTCGGGCCACATATTACACTGGGCACAGCGACCTGGACCCTCCGAAGCAGCATTTCCTTAGAACACACTGATCTGTGCACAGATGGCTCTTCCTGGCATCCTGGGCTGTCAGCTGGCAGCCCCCCTTACATAGTGGGACCCACAGCTGGAGCTCCCCCGCACAGCTGGCCCTCGCCCTACATTTCTAATGTCCATTCTGCCCAGACTATCGTTGACACCTCACTTTATGAGCTTCAAACCGGCAGTGACCCCCACATCCCTCTTCCCGGATCTCCGACAGGTGGCACGTACCTGCCTCTTCTCGGAGGATGGACGACGAGTCGAACCGGGCACAAGCATGGAGCTGCGGGTGAGTCCTGGCTGGCACTGGCGCGGCGCAGCGAGCAGCAGCTGACGCAGAGGGCTCCCTGGCCTCGGCTCCTGCCCGCCTCTCCCCCACCTCCGCCGGGGGCCCAGAAAGGACCTCCCCGGGAAATCGGCGCCACCCAGCGGGCAGCAGCCTCATCGCGCCAGGGCCGGCAAAGCCACACCCCGCGTCTCTCGTCACTGACCAACGTCAAGGCTATTGGCTTGTTCCTATTGTGACATCACTAGAGCCCCGCCTGGCTAGGGTCTCCCAGGCAACCAATATCTACAGAGAACCACGTGGAGGGAAAGCACGCCAGTTTGGAGGGCGTGGAGCAYGGAAAGAAGTGGACTGGAATGTGACACGATGTGGCAGGTGGAAGGTATTGGAAAAGAAGCGGGGTCACTGGAGAAGGTTGGAACTTGAGCCCCGGGGCATAACAACTTTCAGATCTTAGAGAAGGCTTCTTGTTCTCTGTTTCTTCCCATCTGGGCTGAGGGAGGTCCTGATCTTGATCCTCTTCTCTTTTCCTCTACTATCTACTCCCACCCTCGCCTTTTTTGTATCGGGGATTGAACCCACGGGCGCCTAACTACTGAGCCACATCCCCAGTCCTTTTTATATTTTAATTTATAGTCAGGGTCTCTCTAAATTGCTAAGGGCCTCGCTAAATTGCTGAGGTTGGCTTTGAACTTGTAATCCTCCTACCTCAGTCTCCCAGGTCGCTGGGATTACAGTCCTGCACCGCCACACTTGTTCTTTTCCTCTGGTAAGTTTCACTTCCAGGGGACCAGAGGTTAGTAATGGCTGCTCAGATGGGGTAAACGGAGGCACCCAGTCAGTGGAAAGAATTTTCTTTGAACTTTTAAGAAAAAGCTAAGACAAAATTTGAATTATTTTTGCTGCTTCCCTTCTTAGTATATAGCCTCCCACATCTCCTGCAGGCTGGTATACAAAACCACCCAACCAGCTAAGCTGGTGTCCAGGCAAATCCAGGTTTTCATCTTCACTTGGACTGTCCATCCTTCCCAGTGCCCTTAGCTCCTCCTTTCTCTAAGACTGGATGTCACCAGTCACCACAACCCTCAAGGTCTTTCTCTTGTATTTCCCAAAGAAATTAGCGGCAACCAGGAGGGGAATACTTACATTTCTACCTATAAACACATTTGAATCCATCTGCTCTAGCAGTAGTGAAAGAGCTGTCTCTCTTCTGGCCCAAGAGAGTCCCATCTGGGTCTCAAATCTTTGTTTCCTTGGGGCCCTCATTTCACTGCTTCATTTTACAGGTAGGTGAACAGGGGATACAGGAATGAACAGAACAGGCACAATCCCTGCCCTCAAGGAGCTTACATTCTAGTAGAAGAAGGAGGGCAATAACCAAAAAGTAATAGATAGTGTGCTAGGGGCTGGGATTGTGGCTCAGTGGTGGAGCGCTCGCCTGGCACGGGTGGGACCCAGGTTCGATCCTCAGCACCACATAAAAGTAAAGGCATTGTGTTGTGTCCATCTATACCTAAAAATAAATAAATAAATAAATATTAAAAAAAGATAGTGTGCTAGTTGGCACTAAGGGCTTAGGAGGCCAGTCAAGCAGAGAGGGGGATATGGAGTGTGTAGAGGGTGGTCTGAGATGCCCAATGAGAAGGTGACATTTGAGTGGTCTGAAGAAAGTGAAGAATGAACCATGTACATATCTGGAGAAAGACTGCTCTAGGTAGAGGGGACAGTAAATGCAAAGGACCTGAGGTGGGAGCTACCTACAACTTTTGAGGAAGAACAAGATTGTTGTATGTTGGATACAGCTTGACATGACTGCAGCCATCCTGAGTCATAACTGCTGGGATTGCCCCTGAGTAACTCTAGCTGGTTTCCCTTGTAGTTTCCCAGCAGACCATAAATAGATGAAACCATTAGAGTCACATGTGGGGCTTTACAATAGGACTCTGGCTCCAGGGATATGCCTGACTCTTTGGTATTATCTTAAAAGAAATCTTGAGAGGCATGATGGTGCCTACCTAGAATCCTGGCTATTTGGGAGGCTGAGGCAGGAAGATTGCAAATTTGAGGCCAGCCTCTGCAACTTAGTGAGACCCTGTCTCAAAAATGAATGAATGAATGAATGAATGAATAAGCTGGAGTATATAGTTCAGTGATAGAGAGCCCCTGGTTTCAATCCCCACTTCTACCAAAAAATAAAATAAAGAAAAAAGAAAAAAACTCCTGTTATTTTGTGTGTCTATATGAATATGTAACAATCTCACCATTATGTATAGTTATGATGTACCAATAAAAAGGAAAAAAAAAAGAGAGAAACCAGGTACATTACATCCAGTTACTTTTGTCCTGTTAAATATGACCCACTTGCTGACCCAAATAGTGAGAATCCAACTGATCTTGATGCTTCCTAGAACCAGCCTCTGTCAGTAAATCCCCCAATAAATTGGTTCTGTGCAGTCCTGGATCTGTCTGCTCTCTTATTCAGTCTCACAGCAACTTGGGGCCAATCCTCAAACACTGGGACCTAGATGTTTGGAACAAGTAGAGATAGAGATAGAGGGGGAGGGGGCATGGGGATGGAGTGGGGAGGAAGAGAGTGGAAGATGAGGCCAAAGAGATGAGGAATTGATGGGCTTGCCTTGGAGGACCTTAAGGTCCTTCTGATGACCTTGGCTTTTACTCTGATATGGAAGCCATTGGAAAGTTTGGAGTGGAGAAGGGACATGGGTCTGATTTTTTTAAATATTTATTTTTTAGTTTTAGGTGAACACAATATCTTTTTAAAAAAATATTTATTTTTTAGTTGCAGTTGGACACAATACCTTTATTTATTTTCATGTGGTGCTGAGGATCGAACCCAGGGCCTTGTATGTGCTAGGCAAGCGCTCTACTGCTAAG